AATTATTCGAAATTATTTTTCAAATTTAGGAAATCTAATAATCCAAAGGAAAAGAGGAGAAGGACACACACACACACACACACACACACACACACACACACACACACACACACGGTAGGGGAGAAAACATTAAAAACAGAAAGAAAAGGCACATACCCTATAACAAACGGCCAGCTGATGACTTGTTAGCAGTCCTAACGCAAACGTGAAGACAGCAGAAGACGTATTTATAATGGGCTAAGAACAAGTGTGTGTACCAAGACTAGCAAACTTCTTGGAAGGACGAAACTCCCAGCCTGCTGCCTCTGCGGTGTGTGCTCTCTCAGTACAGAAAAACGCTAGCATGTGCATTCGGGGAGAAAAGGAACGAGAGAATGAAAACCATGCTAAATGTGTGGACCAAATAAAATAGAACTCTATGAAGTAATGATAAAAAATATCCATATCCATTTTTGTCTATGTACCCATGTGTATGGAGTGTCAGATGGGCTAAAACCAACATTCCGACTAACAGCAGCAGACAGGGAGGGAGGGATTGGAACCCAGGCCTGCTAAGACTAGAGTGAAGATGTTGGCTAGCTCTGGGTTTCAGTCCATAGTCCTGGTAACCATTAGGAGAAACTAGACAGAGCAAGAAACTCCCAAGCAAGCAACACAAGAAAAGAAAGGAAAAAGACGATCATCTTAATTTACACAGAGACAAGAAGAAGGTGGGTCAGGAGGCACAGGGAGAGGATAAGATGGATCAGCTGGAATCCAAGTGAGAACAGAGGAGCAATGAAGCCACATACATGTTAATCATAGTACATAAACATACACCCCCCCCCCCAAACACAAGCTAAGGAGCCCAGCTATCAAGTGGATCTTTACAAAGTCTGCCATTAAAACAAAAGGTTTACCAGCAAAGGATGCTGACCCAAAGATAAAGCTACACTGGGAGGCACTGACTAAAATAAGATGGAGCCTTTCCAACAAAATCGTATATAGGCAAAGTGTCTATAAGGTCAGAAAAGGCCGCGTTATAATGGTAAAGGCTTCTGGTACCTGGGCAGATAGTAGCACTACTAAGCCTACATGTCCCTAATCACATAGTCTCAACATTAAGCAAAAGTTCAATGAAAACCATAAGAAACTGAAAAACTTGTGACACTGTGGGAGATTTATAAAAACAGTTTGCTCAGTAAATGTTGGAAAAATGCAGAGGAAAAAAATTAGAAACACAGAAAAGTTGAGCAGCGTGTGACCAGGTGACCTGACACTTATTGAACTTCAAATTTATATTTGCATGTCTTCTTGGGATGATCTATATTTGCATATCCTTCTTAGGATAATGAGGAAATGCTGGCCTAAAAGTTGGCTGCCTAGAACGTGAAGGGATTGGGCTTTCCCAGACCACCTCTGTGGTTAAGAATGCAGATATAACCAAGCCACCTGTCTTAGTTACTTTTCAATTGCCGTGACAAAGCAGCATGATGAAGGTGGCTTACAAAAGATGTTTAATTTGGGGCTCAGGATTGTAGAGGGGCTGGAGTCCATGACTATCATGGCAGGGAGCATGGCAGCAGGCAGGCAGGCAGGCATGGTCCGAGAGCAGTAGCTGAGAGTTTACATCCTTATCTGCAAGTAGGAGGAATGAGTGGGACTTATGGAACCTTAAAGTTGTCCCCAGTGACACACCTCCTCCAGCTAGACCACACCTCCTGATCCTTCCCAAACAGTTCCACCAAATAGGGATCAAACTGTCAAACATATAAGCCCATGGGGGACATTTTCATTCAAACCACTACACAACTCAATGTGTTTGTAAACAATAACATTTGTAAAACTTCAAAATCCATGGGGCCCTATTGGGCATCTACTGTCAATCTTAGGTCCGTTTGTATCGAAATAGCTCTGGATATAACCAACGCCATTTTCTTAGGTTCTATGAATTTGCCCATTCTGGGGGCAATCACAGGGGTCCTACAACACGAAAGGCTTTTCTGTAGTGGTGGTTTTGATTGTTTACATTTTTCTTTAATAGATCTACCTGTATTCTCTATGAAAAATAATGTAAACACTACAGATTTTAATGTAACAAAAAAAAGGAAAGAAAAAACTTCAAGCAGTTCACACATTTTAGACAAGTGCTCTCCCCTTGGCTACCTCCCTAGCCATTCCGTGGCTGGTTTCTATTTTTAGAGAGTGTGGTTGGTTTAGGATGGTGTGACTCTGAGGAGTGATGGACCGTGAGGGACACATGTTTCCAGAGCAGTTATCCTGTACCAAGGACCAGGTTTTCACTCTCCTTTATTGCTTTCAATGTGCTAGGGATAATTTTTAAAAGATATTTATTTTCTCAAGGGTCTGAAGGTCACAAGTTCAAAGTCAGGGTGTGGGCAGGGCTAAATTCTGTGATTTCTCTCTGGCTAGTCCTGTCCTAGCAGTCCTCTGGTGCTGTTTCATAGGATGGTTCATCCTTCCCTTTGGGCACATCTCTAGTGCCCCCTCTGAATCCTAGTCATTTTTTGAACACACCAGTCAGATTGGATTAAGGATCTACCCACAGGCAAGAACATTTTAACTCGACTCTTTAACAGCTGTCTTGTGAGATGTTGGGGGTTAGGGTTTCAGTTGGTGAACTGGGGGAGGGGTACCACTTCGGCACTAACAACTGTTTGGGGAAAGTGGGAAGTTGGAGACTCATAAGTCAAGCAACTGTTGAAGGCCATGTGCTCACTCAGCTTCACAGGTGATGGGCGCACACAGCCATATTCATCTGAATGGCTTGGAGACCTATCCTCCCCTGAGAAAGCACAGCCCCACACCTGCGGGTGCTACGGAAGATGGAAAAGGAGAATTTAAAAAAAAAGAAAGGAAGGAAGGAAGGAGGAAGGGGGAGTGAGGGAGAGAGGGAGGAAAGGAAGAAAACAGGGAGAGGTGAGTCAGCAGCTAAAAGGACTTCAGAGGACCCAGGTTCAGTTCCCAGCACCCATGTCAAGTGGCTCCAAGTCTAGGGAATCCAGCGTCCTCTTCTGGAATCCTTGGGCTGGTGCCAAGGACACACAGAGCATGTGCACACGAAGACACACAAGCACGTCTTTCTTTACTTGTTTCAGCAAAAACAAACCCAGAAACTGACCAAAGCCAAGAAGCACGGCGATCAGACTTCACGGTGTGCTGGCAATCCATCCTGGGAAACACCAGAGCTGTCCAGGCTGGGCTGTCCTGCAGGCTCCCCTTCAGAGCTCAGCTTTGAGCAAAGACTGGAGCTTTAGCTAAGGCGCTATAAAAGACCAGCAGTTTAGCATCAGCAGAAAACCACCTGTCTGGGAGGAGCAGGGTGTGACTTTTAGAGGAAGACAGTAGCAAGTGTTGGGCCCCGAAAATGAGGGATCCACAGGCTGACTCTTCTCATTTGTTAGTGCCTGCTGCCCTCTGCTGGCCAGATAGGGAACCACCAAGACTCAACAGAACACGCTACTTCTCCACAGTGCACACAGCTCTGAGTGTGGAAACACTTGGTGTGACAGGCCTGTGGGTCTACCCTCTCTAAACTCCACACTGTTTTTAAATAACAGCACGGCCTACTTCACTTTTTGCATACTGTGTATAGCTGTTTCAATACTTTCTTAATACATTTTATCCTAGAAAGAAAACCAGAAACAAAACCTTATTACAACTGCTGCCTTCTCAAAAAAAAAAAAAAAAAAAAGTTTGCCCTGATCAGCAAATATGGTGACTAGAAGCCAAGCCTTGGTGATTAAACAAAGCACAGGTTTGCTTATCACTTCATGTTTCCAAAACAATCATCGAGTTAGTTTAATAAGATAGGTTTCAACCTTTTAAAACTATGATTTGCTGTGCGATAACCTGGGGAATCCCACCGTTTGGTTACAGTGCTTTTGAAAACATAATATTGATTTTCAACCAAAGCAAAATCAGAAGCAGTGGTACAGGACTATAATTCCAGCTACGTGGGAAGTTGAACGGGAGGATTGCAAGTTCAAAGCTTGCCTGAGTTACAGAGTTCAAAGTCAGCCTCGCCTATTGCCATTACTGTTTGGATGCCCACCAGAACTGGATGGAGAGACCCTGTTGCTGAAGACACCATGCTCTGTCTGCAGGACGTAGAGAATTACGCTTGGGACCTGGCCGGAAGCTTCTTCCCTAATGACTGGTTTATAAAGTGCTCTGCAGGCTTCTGGAGACATTGTCATAAATGGTGTGACCCAACTGTAGACCCCGTGTGCTACCTTCCAGGCAAGTTCTACCCATGGTGTGATAGCAGCATGACTGTTATGGTAATCAGTCGCTTTCTGGACATGAGGCCTGCTTCTTAGGAGTGAATCCACATCTTTGATTATAAACCTAGTCAAAATCCCTGGTGGGGAATCGTCTGCTGGTTTTTGTGAAACGGACATTATATGTCTGCCGAAATGCCTTCAACATACCCGTGTTGGTGTTTATAGATTTGTTCTGATGTCAACAGTAGCTGGAGAAGCTTCTTTGCAGTGGTCACAATGACTACATGAGACCTCTAACTGGCCAAAGTGCTGAGAATCAGTGGCTGCTGAATGCTCAACCTTAAATGGGACATCTTTGTCACCCCCTGCAAGACTTGAGAAATGTCATGGAATGGGGGAAGAACGCAAGAGCTGATGGGCGGGGTGGAGCGTTGTGGACTGCTGTCCTCAGCTATGATACAGCCAGTGTACTCTTGAACTCCCAGAGGCTGTGGTCACTCATACAAGATCGGGCTCATCAGCATTCTATCATGGGCAGGAAATGCTTGCAAGTCCCCTCCCCTCTCAGGGATTAATAAGCAGTTAATGGTTGTTGGGGACTAGAGGGGTTATAACCAGTGGTGTAACCAGTAAAGGTGCCCGTTCTCCTGCAAACTAGTCCCTTACCCATATTCCGGGATGGAACCCTAGTGAAGTCATTGGTTTACACACATGCATACACATTCATACACAACATTTCATACATGCATGAAAATATCACAATGGAACCAATCATTATGTATAATTCATATATTCTAATAAAAAAACTAATAAAAAAATAGAGCCAGTCTGGGCAACTTAGTGAGATCCAGCCTCGAAATAAAGTCAACCTAGCTCGTTGGCAAGGCACATGCTCAGCATGCCAAAGGCCTCGCTCGGGTTCAGTCCTTGGCACACAGGTTCCTTCAAAGCCCCCCCAAATCAGTGGGTTGTGCTTTTAGAAATACTGCTTTGTTAAGCATATTTGTTACTGGAGAATGTTCAAAGGCCATAAAGGATCCCCTAGAGCTGAGAAGTGTTAAGAAAACACCCGAAGAAGCCATTCTCTCTGAGAGCACCTGGAATCCCAGACAGTGCGCAGATGTGTGAATGGAGAGGTGCAGGGGCCGCAGAGTCCTTCCCGATGCTGTCACCGAGCCGTCGTCTGAAGTGTGCTGTTGGAGGTAAACACTGTACCTTCGACCCCAGAACACAATAATACCAATTTCCCCAGCTTTACACAGCCAGGGACCCATGTCTACCCACCCCAGCCTGCTGAGGTCACCATGACGGCCCCTTTTAGCTGTCCACACATTCTCCCTCGTGATCTCTCTGTGACCTTGTTCTAGCAGACTTCCTTCTATGTGCAGTGACTGAGTTCAGCCATCTGCTCTTCACTTCCTGTCTTCTCCAGGGAGTCTGTCTTGTTCTTTGCTGTGTCCTTAGTACCTGGCGAGTATCTGCGTGTCCACAAGTGAGTGAATTGACTGAGCTAAGGAAGACATCCAGACATGAATGACATGAAGGTGGTCCATGCAAGGTCAAGCATGGAGCTTATTCCCGAAGTGGAAGCAAGTTCTAGCCTTGATCGTGGCGGAGAGGGCTGTGACTAGAGTCAGGTGACAGGTGGAGTCCCAGCTGCACCCTTCTCTTGGATCTGCACTAACTCTTACAATGACTCCGCACAGTTGACAGAGGAACATCAGAACAGCTCCAGAGCCTGGACTGCTGGCCACTGCTTGGAGGTGGAGGCCAGAGTCATGAAGGGACACCAGCCACCGGGTGGGCTGTCCGTCAGTGTGTGGGTCCTGGTCCAGCCAGTCTGAGCATTCTCCAGCAGCAGGCTAATCCCTGGCCCGCCCTGAGCCCATCTCCATTGCCCTTGTCAGACAATAAGAACCTGAGCAAGGACAATCGGTCACTTGGGGAAGCTGGACGAGAGCTGTCCCCGAGAGAGGTAGGGAAGGTGAAATGCTTGCGTGACCTGGGGCAGGAGCATTTGCCTCTGATGAGTGAGCTGCTGGCCTGCTTTATTCTCTGTCATTGGTGGTCCTTCTCTTAGCATTGGGTCCCAGCCACTGGCAGAGGAACCACCCTGGCGACAAGGTCAGCAGAAAGGAATGGAGCAAGGACTCCCTGGGCCACCTCAGGGCAGAGTGACCTGCGGATTCTTGAGGAAGAAGGCCACTTTCTGGGCCACAGCATCCAGCTCACTTGGGCTGGCTGACTGCAGGAGGTTGCTCTTCGGGACAAAATAGTGTTTCAGAAAGTGCTGGCTCACACATCTGTGCAGCTTCCGGACCAGGCGGAGGAGCGCTTGATGGAAGACCTGCCAGTCCTTGAGGTGTGGGTACTTCTCACATGTCCAGAAGAGCACTGTCTGTGGATGAAAGATGGTGGGAACAAGTTGAGTATTCGTGGCTCTGGGAGGAGAAGCAAGGCATCCTGGGAAAACTGGATTCACCAGGAATCCATGACCCATTGCCTCACCAGAGCCTGGGGCTTACCTAGCTGGCTCACACCTCCCAGTTACTCTCTTTCCCTTTCCTCTGCCACCTTGACCAACAACACTCTCCCAGTGAGTCATACCCTGCTTCAAGCAGAGGCCCTCTGCCTCCCAGCATACAGGGAACATGGAAGCCCTCATCTCCTGGATGGGAGAGATCTGTCAACATGGCAGCCTCCTCTTTCCCTCTCTGCATCCACCGCTCTCACGGGTCTCTGCCTCCTAGGAGCCCTAGAGGATCGATTCCCCTCTTTGCAGGCGGCCTCTTGGCATGGGGTCATAGCCCTCCTGCTCTCCCATGGCGGTCTCCCCTCTGGCAAGTCCAGGCACCCCGATAAATTCCTCTCTTCTCACTCATTCCTTGCCTCCACCTACTCCAGTCGGGAGTCTTCGGCCATTAATCCTGAAGGCTGCTCTCCTAGCCCAAGATCTCCAGGGCTCCAATGGCAGGGCAGGCCTTTTTCTGCCTCACCTCTTCTCACTTTCAGTGGGTCAGACAGTTGGCCACACCCTCCCTCCCTAACCACTGTTCTTCCGGCCTCTAAGACAGTGCTCTCCTAGGCTTTCTCCTCGCATCCCGGCTACTCCAATGCTCGGCACCCACCAATGTCTGCTCGGCCTTGGGGTCTCTAAGGACCCTCCCTCCCCCACCCGCCCGCCCCTTCTGCTCTTGCCCCTCCCCTGCCTGGTGCTCAGTAAGATGGAGGACTCACACCGGCACCTTCTCCAGCCCAGACTCTGCTCCTGACCTGCTTAGTCTTGGGTATTGGAAAGTTACCTCCGTTTCAACACGCCCAGACTGAACTCATGGCCTTTCCCACAAACCTGCTCTGCCTCTAGACCTGCTGATCCAGTCAGCTGGGCCAGACACAGCCTGGGGCTGCATCCGCAACCCAACCCGCTCATCTTCCTGCTCATTGGTCTCTCAGGCCTGCCACTCAGCTTCATGCCCCTCCCACTGTCCTCTCCACCACGCATCTCATCCTCTTTGGCAGCCGGGTTAACCTGTGTGTGCCTATCCCAATTACCAGCAGCCAATCTGTAGGTTTTTTTTTTTTTTTAAGTATAAATCCTCATTATTTTTATTTGTTTGTTTTATCTAAATAACAGTTCCTCTCACTCTTGGTTAACTAAGATACAAAACAGGGTCTCACTTTGTAGCCCTGGCTGACCTGGAGCTGTGTAGACCAGGCTGGCCTCATATTCACAGACATCCTCCTGCTTCTGCCTCCTGAGTGCTGGACTTAAAGGTAAGCGCCACCACCGCCTGGCTAAGGTTGCAGTTCGTAACATGTTCTGTGAGGTTTGGTCCCTGCCTTGCTGGCCAGCCTTTCGACAGACAGGTGTCAAGAACGATGTGGAACCAGCCCAAGCGCCAGGAGTGGATGGCCAGGGCACACAGAGCACAAAGACACAATGGAAGACTGTTCATCCAGAAAGAATGGAACCCTGTCCTCTACAGCAAAATGGCTGGAAGCAAAATGGAAGGACATGTGTTAAGTCAAATGTGCCAGACGCAGAAAGACAAACACAGCACGGTCCTTCTCACGCGGGGAAACTGAAGGGTGAAGCAGATCTGAACGTGGTGTGCTGAGGACTGGGAACTGGGAAAGGGGCGGGGGTAAAGGGGGGCAGTGCAAAGGGAGGTGGATGTGATTGGCGCACCCTCTCCACATGTATAAAAATGTCACACCAAACCCAATGAGTATAGGCAACTAAACACAGCAATCAAAAATAACAGCATCAATTTGAAAAGAATTTGAAGTCCTGGATGAATGAAGAGCACTTGCTGCCCATTCAGAGGACCCGAGTTCAGTTCCCAGAACCCTCTTCTGACCTCCTCAGGCACCTGCACATATGTGGCATATACTCACATAGACACATACACATAAATAAAAAATAATAATACATATTTAAAATTTTAAAGAGTGGATAATCTCTTCAACTAAAGGGGACCTGGGAAAAGTGGGGAGGCAGGGAGGGAGGGAGGGAGAGAGAGAGAGAGAGAGAGAGAGAGAATACACACACACACACACACACACACACACACACACACACACACACACAGAGAATGAAACTGACCACACTTCTCACATGATACAAAATTAACTCAAAATAGATTGGGTGCTAAAATACAAGGCCTGAAATTATGGAACTAGAGAAAGTGGGGTGATGCTTCGTGGTGTTAGCACAGGCAAAGATTTTCCAGAGAAGACCCAACAGTACAGGCAACAAAGGGGAAAATGGATGCTGTGGACACACTGAACTCGGAGGCGTCTGCACTGCAGAGCAGTCACCAGGGTGAGGTGCAGTGTGAGGGAATGTTAGCAAGCTGTACTCCTAAGGGGGTCAATAGTCAGAACACACACAGCTCAACAGCAAAGGAACAAACGACACCATGAAAAGTGGAAAAGTGAGAGCAAGTGCCATTTCTCCAAAGAAAATGCACAAATGGACAAGTATCTAAGTCCCTGTCTTCAGGGAAATGCGGGACAAAACCACAGTGAGATGCCTGCCACCTTACCAGTGAGACACAACACCCAGGCTGTTGTGAAAAAGACAAAAATGAGCCGGGCATTGAGAGCACACGCCTTTAATCCCAGCACTCGGGAGGCAGAGGCAGGCGGATCTCTGAGTTCGTGGCCAGCCTGGTCTACAGAGGGAGTTCCAGGACAGCCAGGGCTACACAGAGAAACCCTGTCTCAAAAAAGAGCAAAATGGAGTAAAGTGAGAAGACAGTAAGGACAGGGGCACTCATATAAATTAGTGTAGCTTTTGTGGAAAACAGGTGGGAGGTTCCTACAAAACTTAAAATTTGGGTATGCATACCAAGGAAATGAAATTAGAACATTAAAGAGCTACCGACACTCTGGCTACTGCAGTATTGTTCACAATAGCCAAGAAAAAAAGTGACCAACCTAGGTGTCCATCAACAAAAGACTAGAGAAGATGTGGTAGGCCGACACTACCTCATCTACTACTCAGCCACCAAACCACGAGTGAAATCCCGCCGTGCACAGCAACATGGAGGAAATGGAGGAGCTTCTGCTGAGTGAGATAAGAAAGGAAGGGGAGGACAGACACTGTGTGCTCCCGGTCACGTGTGCACAAATACGGTGAGGACAGAGGGACAAAGGAGGGTAGGGTGGAATGCAAAAACCCCCGGAGGGATAGTTTAAAACTCGCCAGTGAAGCAAGGGCCTGCTGCGGCTGAAAGCAATTCTTTCGGTTTTGAAATAACTGGAAGAGTTCAAAGCCCCCAACCAGAAGGCAGAATAAACATCTGACACGCTGATCGCGGGGGTTTTACGTGGTGGATGGTCTGTGTGTCTCCAGTTACTATTCCACACCTCACAAATACTATGTGATACAAGGTGTTAATCCATACAGTAAGTCATCCCTAATGTCACATCAAACAAGAAGGGAAGGGAGAGAAGAGGAGAAGAAAAGGGAAGTCAGGAAGGGAGGGAAGAAAGCCAAGTCGCTATCACCCCTGGCAGGTGTGGGACACACAGCTGGGGTTTATGTGTCACCATGCGCAGAAAAGCATGCAGTGTGGAAACCCTGGGATTGAAAACCGTTCCCACGGCCCCATCCTGATCCCATCACACACTGGGACCCACCTAGAGACGGTTGCCCTGACTCCCCCCCACCACACCCCGTGTTCACCTGCAGGTGGTGGGTGGTGATGACTGGCCTCTGCCCGGGACACCACACATCCTCCTTCAGCTGCCTCAGGACCTGAAAGCATCGCCTGCGGCAGCCCCCATCCTCATCCAGCTGCTCAAACAGCACCCGTTCTGCCTGGGGGAAACTCAGCTGCCAGTGATAACTGGACCGGGCCACCAAGTTGAACCCAAATGACTGAAAAAGACAAAAGGATTGGGAACATGCGAAACACGATTCAGGCTAAAGGAGAGAGCAGCTCACATAGCTTGAAGGACCCAGGGCCCACAGCATATGGTATGTCTATGTGAAGGAATATTATTCAGCCGATAAAAAGGATCAAATCCAGCCATTCACAGGAACACGGGCGGAATTAGAGGATAATGTGTAACGGGCAGCAATGCAGAAAAAGACAAACACATATTGAATATTCTCACTCACATGTGGATGGCAAAACATAGAGGCCGAAAGGGCATCGTGGAGAAACACAAGGCACCCTGAGTCCATGCAGGGAGCAGGGGGAGGCTCAGGCCACTTTAAGGCAGCTGCTTCTGCCCCTGTCAGAGCCGCTGAGGACTTTTCAGCCTTCACCTAGGTCCCTGGGCTCTGTCCCATGCTCATTCTGCAGGCCCAGGGTTTCTGATAGGAAACCTGCTTTTCTGACAAGCTCATGGGTGATGCTGCCACTGGGGGAGCGGGTGGGGGGGGGCGGGGAGGGGGGCAGCAGACACGTTGGAAGAGCAGCTCTAAGGAAACATGCCCCCCCCCCTGCGCCCCCCACAGTAAGCCGTCACATGGTCAGTAATGAGATGGGCAAAGCTGTCAGCCCTCCACAGAACGAGCCCCGCCTGGTCACCCGTACCTTGATGCACTCCACTCTCTCTGGGGAAGGCCACCGCTTCAGACACCTAGGCCACTGGGCTTTCTCGGACCAGGCGGTGGGGATCTCCACAGTAGGGGCCAGCTCGAGCTCCACCTGGCCTGTGGACGTTTCCATGGCAACCCAAACAGCAGCTCGGTTTGCTAGCACACTGACCTTGCCTGATGGGAACCAACCAGAGAGACCCTTGGTAAGAGAAAGTCTTTGCTTTACACACAAGCAGCAGGGCAGGGCAGGAACGAGTGAGCAGACACTGTGGACAGCTGCCGGGGTGTCTGTCACACAGTGTCAGCTCTGTTGACACCAGACAGTCAGCTTGTCACAGCCTGGCCGGGAAAGCTCATGGTCAGTGGGCTCTTTGCTTTTCCTCCTCATTCCTCCAAAGCTTTTTCCATTTAAAGTGATAGATTCCTTTCAGGAGGTTCAACGAGGGGAGTCGCGGGAAGACAGAAAAGGATCATACTGGCTCCTGAGACGCCATCTAACACGTCCACATCACCTCGATGCCGGTTTGGGAGGGAAGGCAGGCGAGAGTAAGGGCAGAGCTCTTCACTCTGACGTCAGGATTTTGCTGAAGGGTGGCTCTGACCCCACCTCCCCCAGGTCCCTTCCAGGGGAGTCCTAATAGCCTGTCTCATCTGAATCAGTCTCACGGATGGTGTTTGCTTCTACCATCCATCTCAGGAGCCGGCTTCACTCAGAAGTATTTCTCATCCTGAGTCCATCCGATCGTGAAGCCCCTCCGAGCATGTTATAGCTGAGCTTGAAAGGGTCAGGTGAGTGGGAGAGGTTTCCCATTAATTCATTTACCAAGCAGGCAGAGAGGAGGAAATAAGTGTGTGCGGTGAGTTTTCTGGCTCATGAGCCAGACTGCCCTCATTGTCAAAGGGCTCTTCTTTACAAAACAACAGATTATTATTATTATTATTGTTGTTATTATTATTATATGTATGTAGTATGTATATATGTCTGTATGTATGCATGTATGTATGTATGTATCCGAGCACCTGCATGATTTCATGTTCACCACGTGCATGCAGCAGCCTGCAGAAGCATGAAGAGAGCATCAGAGTCCCTGGAACTGATGTTACAGACAGGGTGCTGGGAACTGAACCCCAGTCCTCTACAAGAGCAGCAAACGCCTCTAACCACTGAACCATCTCTCCAGCCCCAGCACCTGGGTGTTTCTGTTTGTTTGGCTTCCTAACCGATAAGAACGAGAGTGTCTTGACCTAAGGTCTGTCATCTCACTCTGCCCTTCTTAGGAGAAAATTTGAAGCTTTTAACTGTGTTTGGCTGCTCGGAGGAAAGCATGCTATTCTGAGCTAGTTAGGATGACTGAGAGTTTACATTTCACCAGAGCAGCCCAGACGAGGCTAGGACACGGAGTGTTGGAGTGTTACTTCAGCTTTGTTTACTGAAACCTCATCACAGGTCTGGCCCAGCTGGACTCACCCATCTCTCCTTTCTCTAGTAGATCTTTTCCAGGTGTTAGGAGTGACTGAACTTGGAGCTAGCCTGCCTGGCCCATACCTTACTTCTGCAGGCGGCTCTGGTGTGTGACCCTCAGCTAGTGACTTATCTGTCAGTCTTTTCATTTTTAAATAGGTACAGAAAAGATTTTTTTTTTTTTATACGAAGTCTCCTGTATCCCAGGCTGGCCTTGAACTTTTGATCCAGCAGAGGATGACCTTGAATTTCTGGTCCTCCTGTCTCCACCTGGCAGAGTGCAAGGATCAGAGGTGTGCACCCACGTGTCTGATGTATGCATGACTGGGGATCGAATCCCGGTTGTTACACATGCCAGGCCAATATTCTGCCAACTAAGCTGCATGTTACCCCAGTCTCAGAGTGTCTCAGAATTAAATAATCCACACAAGTACTTTCTATAAAGTAAACATCTATGAGATGTGACCAGGCTGGAGACTTTCAGAGTTGTTCTGTTTGGACAAGCAAACATTTACAAACGCATCATTTGAGTTCGGCAGCCTGTGTAATTTTCATAATACATGTGTGTGCCTGTGTATGTCTCACTCAGCTGAGGCTGCACACAGTCTGCCAGGCCAAGGCACCATCATTTACCGGGCCAATTTTCTTAGATAGTCATTTAGATTTTTTTTTTTTTCTAGTTGGTTACTATTTTGAAACCCAGGGCAGAAGACATTCTTGGCCATATTTCTTTGTGTGTCTGCAAAAGTTTATTTGTTGAATTGCCAAGTCAGCACATTATAAAAATAAACAATGGACTAATGGCCCTCTAAAAATGAAACACTGATTTTCGCTCCCAAGAACAACATGAAAATGCCTGCTTCACCTGACCCACCCTACACTCAGCAGGAGCACACTTCTCACACTTCACAACTTCTCACACTTCACATAGCTGTTCATCTGCCGGGCGTTTTTAGTATGTATTTTTATTGTTTTGGGGATCCTTTGTCATCGTTGTTTTGGTTTAGAATTATTTTATTTTAATTACATAGTGTGTATGTGACTGTACGTATGCACATATGCATGCAGTACCCAGGGAGGCCAGCAGTGGGTGTCAGATCCCCTGGAGCTGGAGTTACAAGTGGTTAGGAGTCCCCTGAGTCGGGTGCTGGGAATTGAACTCAGGTCCTTTGCAAGCACAGCCATCTTCTTAACCATGTGCCTTTCTCTGGTCCCGATCGTTGATTTTTTAATTTTCTAAGACAGGATCTCACTCTGTAAACCCAGGCTGGCCTCATACTTGTAGTAATCCTCCTGCCTCAGCTTTTCAGTGCTGGAATTACAGGAACCATGCAACCATGCCTTGGCAATCTGCTAGAATTTTTAAAATCTATATTTTTCCTTTTTTTTTTTAAATCATTTATATTCTTCCCTCAAGATTCCTGTTTCTGTGACGTTGGTTTTTCTTTTCTTCCTTCTTTTTTTTTTTTCTGTCTGTTTTGCTTTGTGTGTTATTATTTCTGTTGATCAGCTCACCATTTGTCTTGCCTGGTTTAGAACTACTTCTGTAATTAAGCCAGCTTTTCCACGTGTGCACGTGTGTAGACGCGTGTGCATTTATTCATGTCACCCTCTACTGTGGCTTTTCTGTTTGCAGTTGTTGAGGTGAGTGGGTCCTAAGGCTGCTGGGCTTCTGCTGTAGCAGGTGGGTGCTTTCCAAGCACGCAGCCTCCATACCCTGTGTTCACTCAGATGCTCCGTGTTGCACAGAAATGTGCTGATAACCAGGGTCTTGGGGGGGTAGGGTGGAGGGTGAGCAGTTTGCTGCTTTAAATATGTAATGTTGAGGTTGGGGCAGGGCACAAAACCCACAGCCTGAGATGTGTTCGTCAGGGCTGTAATTTCTCAGTCTCGGAAGTGTTTCCTGAGAATGAATCCCTGCCTTGGGGATTTCATTAACAGATTAGCAGGTCACCCCCCCCCCATCACCACAATGCAAAATGTGACTGGTTACCACTCCCCTTTCACCTTCCCGTGGCCAGCTCACCCGAGAGGTGACAGGTTCTCACTGCGTTTTCCACCAGCGCCCGGAACACCTGGAGGACTTTGGCAGGCACGATGTCCCCCTCTATGTTCACGTCCGCCTGGTGCCACTGCCACAGGGTCTTCACGAACTGCTCAGTCTCCAGCCACTGCTGCAGGCCCTCGGGGTCCCGCAAAGGGCAGGTGAGCTTGGTGCCCTGCAGGGTGTAGTACCGCCAGCGCTGTGTGCGGGCCCCCTTGTATCCCGCGAGGCCTTTCAGAGGGACCGTGACATGGAACAGTCTGGGAGCCAAAACCTGCGGTTAGAAAAGGAGAGACGGGAGCTGATTTCCTGTCACGGGGGAGGTGACAGGCAGAGGGTGCTGACCTGTCCAGCCAGGCAGCTCAAGTGACCGTTCAAGCCCCAGCAATGTGATGAGGTGTACAGAAAGAGACCCGGATTGCTGAGCACTACGGTTCTGTTTCACCACTAACCCATTTGAGGCTGCGCAGACAGAATGACTCAAGGAGTTAGTTCAGGGCTTCGTGAGGCCACAAGTTAAGTATGAAGAAAACCCGGAACCCTGGAGGGACCTTGAGTTTAGGGAAGAAGAAAGGGAAGGGAAATATATCCACTGAGCCACACACACGATCTGGCTGCGCCTCTTCCATCTCCGAAGTCCAACAAGAGGGTACCTACGATACCACTTCCCCAGTGAGCAGCCTAAGGCACAGAGGGGCTTGTGGATCACCCTGGGGCTCTGCCAGCAAGCGGAAGAGCGGAGATTTTAATTGAATTCTTTTGGTAGCTTGTTCGGCGGTTCTACCCCAGACTAGTTCTGCATCAGGAATGAGTGTCCTGGGATAGCTGAACGTTCTGGCACGAAAGAGAAGGTGACAGGACTTTGAAGTGCCGCCCTTTCTTTTAGCCTGTCACAATGACCCAGGGTCAGTACGAATGACTAACCCTCACAGAATCAAAGGTGAAATGAAAGCCTGTCTGTCTGGACAATGTGAGCCATTGAGTTGATTCTGTGTTTAATGGAAAAATGGATGTGAATCCACCCACTCCCACTCTCCGGGAACCAGTTAAGCAGTGGCCAGGAAGAAAGGATGCTGAGCAGGCAGGCACACGCTGCAAAGGACACAATACACCCGTTGGCCATGCAGATCTGCCGGAGGGACCCTGAACTCTGGCTGTGCCCTGGCGACTCCTTGCACCCTCTTTGTTCATTCAGCCACGTTTTCTTTGAAGAAGGTTACAGGAAGTCCTGCAATAGTGAGCTTTTGCCCCTGGTCTGGGCACTGACCAATTCAGCTGATCCCGCCCCGTTTTCAGAGAACATTTGATGGCTTAGGTGAGGGTACCATGTGACTTCTGGCGCCCAGAGGCTGGATTAAATAGGGGGGACAAACGCCTAAACTCCAAATGAATTTTAATCCACTTGCACATGAGTTCAAGAGCACAGTGGTGGGGCTGGACAGACGGCTCTGACCACACCCTGCCTGCCATACAAGCATGAGAACCTGAGTTCCGATCACCAGCACCCACAAAAAGAGTCAGGTGTGTGCTTGCACACCAGTAATCACAGCACTAGGGAGGCAGAGACAGGGGGATCCCTAGGACTTCTTGACTATCCAATACAACTGAATCGGTGTGCTCCAGCTCAGCGAGAGACCCTGTCTCAGAGCATAAGGTGGGGAGCCACTGAGGAAGAGCCTTGACTTCTGGCCTCCATGAGCACATCCACACACATGGAACACACACCTGAACAGGTACAGAAACATCTACCTACACCCACATCCCCAACCGCGTGAAATAAGGACTAAAACTACAAATGGTGTTCAATAAATACTTATTGAATTTAGTTCAAGATGAAAATTGAAGTCATTTTGTGTGTTTTCTCCCTTCCCTCCTTCCTTCCTCCCCCTCTTTCTTTCCTTTCCTTTCTTTCTTTCCTTCCTTCCTTCCTTCCTTCCTTCCTTCCTTCCTTCCTTCCTTTCTTTCTTTCTTTCTTTCTTTCTTTCTTTCTTCGTTTCTTTCTTTCCTCAGGGTCTCCTGTATCCCAGGCTGGTCTCAGATTTGACGTGAATCTGTGGTAGTTTGAACAAGAATGTCCCCTACAGGCTGGCACTATGTGAGGAAGTAGTGTGGCCTTGCTCGCTGGAGTGTGACTGGGAGCAGCCTTGGAGAATTCAGAACCTGGCTCCACCTCCAGCTCACTCTACCATGTTTGCGGTGGCAGAAGATTTCTGTTCCTGGGCAGTACTATGTTCTCAGTGGGATAAGTACCTCTCATACATGGAGTCCCTCCCACCCAAGGGTTTGGTTGCGTCCTGGAGCACCTCAGAGGGACCTGCTTACCTTAACGCTGTCATTGTACGTGTCAGAGGCAGGCACTGCTTGGAATCGACTGTCCTGGTGGCTGATCTCCGCCGTCAGACAGTGGATAACTTTCTGCACCTCCTCCACACTCTGAGAAATCTGCTGGCGCCTCAGGTCCACCTGGGTGTGAGGGGGGGGGGTCAGCGAAACAGTTACAGGGCCCGAGGCACCGGCCCAGGCGACAAGACAAAGGCACAGTGAAGTCCGACCCAGGTTCAAAGCAAAAATCTTGCCTCCCGGGATTCCAAGGGAGTTGAGCTTAAGTCTGACAGGGACCAAAATGACACTGGCTTCCTTCTGGACAGGTGCAGTCCCTCAATCTATCCAGGACTCACTCCTGGGCACAGTCTGGGGACATAACAGCAATCAAGGCAACAGCAAAGGCCAGGGGGGTGCAGGGAGGTGCAGGTGGTGGTGGTGGGGAGGGCATTGTGGCATACACCTGTAATCCCAGCACATGGGAGGTAGAGGCAGGAGCGTCTGAAGTTCAGGACCAGCCCTGGCTCTGCAGTGAGTTCAAGGCCAGCATGGGCCACACGAGTCCCCGCCTCAAAAAAACTTAGCAACAAATCAGACAAGATGTACAGTCCCTCTGGTTGGAAACACACAGTTGGGCGTGCAGACTGTAACGGCATACATACTTATTTTGAAAAGTGCTGTAGGGAACAGTGAGCTAGGGTAAAGACCAGGGGATAAAACGTGGCTATTTCAGATAGGGAGGTCAGAGAAGGTGACATTTGAGTGAGTCATAGAGAGAGCGATGGAAAGCAGATTCCAAAACTTACTCCAAACAGCCAGATAAGAAAATGCCAAGCCCAAGACACTTGACCAATGCTAAGTCATTCCTCGCCCCAGGCACCTGGGAGCCTCCTACAGAGCCATCCCATACAGAGACAGAATGCAAGCCTGAGACCACGCCTACCTATCTGCACAGGTTTCATAGCCCACACAGAGTCAGCCCATTGATAGCTATCTATCTACATTCACTGTGCGGGGCCACGGGAACAAAGCAGACAGACACGACTCTGCACTCAAAGCATTGGAGAAACCATCTGAAAGAGAATGCAAGTGTGGGGGCTCCATCACGGAGAAGTGTGGGGGTTCTACTGATCCAGCAGAGAGGAGATCCCTGATCTGCATGCAGAGACCTCTTTGACAATTCCATGTAAAGTACTGTCTTTGGAAAACCGACTTGTATTGTCCAGATGACCAACACGATGCTGAGTAGCCAGAGACAGAAAATGAGGCCCCTAACTCTGCAGACCTGAGAATCTCATTGGAAACATCAAATACACAAAACAGTCTCTTGAAAGTCCATGGGTCCTGCTTGACCATGACTACGGCAGCCGTATCTGCAGTTTAACAGTTGGCTTTTGCCACTAGCAGCCGCTCCTCCATTTCCATCCCTGTAATGCCCACCTCACTATGGGTGATGGGGGTGAGGGACCCTCTTGGAATGGCTGTGCCCTGCGGGGGCTCTACATCTTCTAGACTGCAAGTGGAAGACAGGAGGTGGTCACAGAAGGGCAGGAAGTTCAAGATGCCAAAAATAAAGGAGAGCGCTTTTGAAAACCTTTGGTCAAACGTCCCCACAGACAGGACTTCCCCTGTGCCTGATTCAACTCCATTTGGCCAGCTTTCAAACGCCTACTTCTTGCTGGACTCTGTACTTCATGGCAAGAGGTTTACAGATAGACTGTCAGTGGAAGATGGATTAAAACTGTCACAGTGAGATGCTGGGAAAGACCACCATAGGATACTGTGGATGCCCTGCAAAAGGACGGTTGTCTAAACTGGAGGCCAAGGGTCCTTCCTGGAGGCAGAAGGTAAGGTTCGAGGAAGTCAGCCAGGGGGCTAGGGATCTGGCTCTGGCAGAGTGAATGCTTGCTGAATGTGCATGAAGCCCTGGGTTCCACCTCCAGCAGTACAGAAACTGAGCATGGTGTGCAGGCCTACATTCCTGGTGCTTTGGAAGTGGAAGCAGGAAGACCATTTGTGGCTTCTCAGCAAGTCCTGGGACACATGGGACCTTGTCTCAACATGCATATGTAAGGTGGCAGGTCCTGAGAATAAAGGGAGAGACCAGTACCAGTGCCCCCCCCCCCCCCCCCGCGCCCCAAGTGTCTGTAGAGTTTCCCAACCAGAACAGCGGAACGAATGGGGACAAATTCATGAGGACAAAGGGTCACCACTTCTCAAAAAGCTTGACCATGGCAGCAAACAAATTAGACAAAATGGGCAGGGCCAGCAGCAGATTCTCTCAAACTGACACATGGGCTTAGGCATGTTTAAACATGGAGGGACATGTGTCAGTTCAGGAGGAAGAGGCCCACACAATGAGGAGGGATTTCCCAGCAGGAAAATGTCATGCAAATCCCCACCACATTGCTTCAGAAGGGGAGCAGGAGAGGAAGGGGAAAGGGAGGGGTGTTGCGAATTGGAGAGATTTCCTGCTCGAAGTCTATGTATTTTCTTCACAGGGTAGGAGACGAGGCAATATGCACCAGGAAGCCGGAGAGGTGGCAGGTACCAGGCTTCAGGTAATAGACTAGACCAGCTCCCAAGGGATGAGGGATGAGGAGTGGCTTGGGTACTTGTGTAAAGATGGAGTTGTAGCCATGGTGAGACCCATGAGGTTGTTGGAGTGTTCGTGGGCTCAGTTGTAAGATGCCCGAAGCACCTCTTAACCCTCCAGTCTAGGCTGAGGTGCTCAGTTGGAGGGGTGGAAGCTGGAGGTGGGGTTTTGGCGGTTGAGTTGGATTTTCCAGCCTGAGGATGGAATGCATATAGCCAGGCTGGTAGATTACTGGGCACTGAACAGGGACGAATCTGCTAAATAAGTGCAGTGGGGGGAAATTATATAGAATCATTTACAAACCTCACAATAAAGAAGCCATGCAAGTTGCCAGGTGGCGGTGGTGCACACCTTTAGTCTCAGCACTCGGGAGGTAGAGCCAGGCAGATCTCTGTGAGTTCGAGGACAGCCTGTTCTACAGAGCGAGATCCAGGACAGGCACCACAACTACACAGAGAAACCCTGTCTTGAAAACCCGAAAAAAAAAAAAAAAAAAAAAAGAAGCCATGCAAGATGTTCTGACGAGGTAGATAGAGCACTGCAGTCAGAATGGCTGTGAGGAGATGTCATTGAATAGCTAAGTTCTCAGAAGGCATGGAGGGCCAAGGCTTATAACCCCAAAGTCCCCGAATCTTTAAGTTTATGGATATGATTCCACAGAATTTGAATATGAAAAACCCAATGGACACACACACACACACACACACACACACACACACACACACACACACACACGTATTAATAAGCTAAGTGTCCTAAGTTGCTTCTATTGCTATGATACAACATGGACCAAAAACAACTTGGAGGAGGAAAGTGTATATTTGGCTTACACGTTCCAATCATATTCCTGTACCAGGGAAGTCAGGGCAGGGGACCGAACAAAGACCTTGGAGGGGTGCTGCTTACTGCCTTGCTCTCCACAGCTTGCTCAGCTATCTTTCTTATACAACCCTGGACCACCTGCCCAGAGGTAGTTCTGCCCACCATGGGCTGCACCCTCCCACACCAGTCATTAATCAAGAAAATGCCCCCACAGACTTGCCTACAAGCCAGTCTGATGGAGGCATTTTCTCAATCAATGTTCCCTCTTCAAAATGACTCTAACTAGGCCAGGCAGTGGTGGCGCACGCCTTCAATCCCAGCACTCGGGAGGCAGAGGCAGGCAAATCTGTGAGTTTGAAGCCAGCCTGGTCTATGGAGCCAGTTCCAGGGCAGTCAGGGATAAGCAGAGAAACCCTGTCTGGAAAAACAGAACAACAGCAACTCAACTCAAGCTTGTGTCGAGGTGACAGAAACCTCACCAGCACACTAAGAAAACCTCCATTACAATATCGGCACTGGGGTGGGGGCGGGGGCGGCAAAACACCCCAAGGAACAGCCTTCCTCGGAACCAAAATCCTTCTCTATGAGTGAACTTGACCACGGACTGGACAGTGACTGGGCAGAACAAGTCTGAACACACCCTGGAAGGCACCTGTAATCGCTCTCATTATCCTTCGCTTAGCTCATCGTCCTCATGTGTTCTGATCTACAGACGTGGAAGTCAGAATGGAGAACCAGGCTGCCTGGAAGATCAGACTACAAATTCTTCCCGTCACGTCTTACACTTGGGTGCCTTAAACTTAGCATCTTAGAATTATTTCGGCTTCAGAAATCATCTTATCTGGTGTCACCGAATAGAGTACCAGAGCAAAAAGTGGCTCTCCTCTGTCACACCGGCAATTAGAAGTAGAACTAGACGACATGCGTGGGGTTTCCAATGCCATTTTCCAGCACTCTCTGCCACGCCCTCAAGGACAGGAGTGTTGTGAGTAGAACCTGCCCCTTATCTTCTTCCTGGACCTAGATAGAAAAGGCTTTCAGTCTGGAGTCAGGGCTCACGAAACAGCAAGTCTGGAGCTGCCATTTTGTGGGTACTACGGATGGTTCTTACATCCCCTAAGGATACTAGGGTAACATAGCAGGGGCCAGACAGTGAAGAGCCCCAGGCAGATCTGTCCCCGCAGTGCCCAGGATGCTGAAGCTGGGAACAATTTTCATCAGGTGATATCTGGCCTGCTCCCACATTATTGGCCACGTATGCCACGACGGCATCACTGAGCAACCCACAGCCCCCAAACGCTCCTGCTGGGGTTCCCAGGCCAGGTCTTAGGTTGCATCCCCAACCTAGACCCTGACCTTCCCCACCTGACTATTGCCCTCCACTTATCTTGACTGAACCCAGAGAAACAGAACAAGAGGATTGAAGCTCTGGGTGAGGAAATGCAGAGACGCAGATGCAGCCTGGGGTCCATTGCAGAGAGATTTTGGTAAAAGTGATTTTGGATGCTTTACCACAAGTACAGGCCCCTCCACGCTCAATCTCAGAATCCCTTTCCTTTCTAGTCTCTCAAATGTCAACAGGCCAGCAATACAGCCTCATCCCCAAATGCATTTCAGCAAAGAAAGGCTTGAAAATAAACCTAAGGGGAAAATGGGACCATTGAAGAAAATGGACTCAAAGCATAACTCAATTCAAGCTTGACCTTGGGGCCTATCCAGTTTTCACTCTCCTCTTCTGCTGATAAACTCAACGGATCAAAAAGGGTCCATTCTCTTTTTCAAGGGCTGCCTTTGTGCGTGTGACCGAGCCCAGCCACGTTGAATCAACCAGGCACACACAAGGCTGGATGCTCCAAGGTCACCCAGGGCAGCAGATGACGCCTTCATGCCGTAGCTTTGCCCAGGGCCTCCCTCCCCAGGTGTGTCTACGTGCTTCCCCACACGTCCCTGTCTCATCCTAGGCTCCCTCCCCTCTTTCCCAGCCAGAGCCTCTGGGCTACTGTTGGACCACAAGTCATTTGCTGCTATTAATAGTTCAGGTTTGTGAATAATTTACTGTTTCAAATATAAATTATTGGGAATTCAAGACTGTTCCCTGTAACAACACCGTGCTGACTCATGGGTGTTGCAACCCTCTTCCTTGAACTCTGTGGAGGGCCAATTAAGCGGCTTGCGGGAAAAGTTGTACGGGGGCCCGGCTGCACCCAGGGACAGGTGGTCTATCTACATGAGCATCGCCCAGGTGGAGGACAGGGAGGAAGAAATGGCCGAGAACTTCCTCCCAGACAACAGAAAGTTGGGCTGTTAACCTTGGAATTGCTTTTAGTCCAATAATGGGTTAAAACAAGACTGGTACCTTCCCTGCCCTCTAGAAGCTGCCAGTTTAAAGAGAGGAAGCCATAAACTTATTGACACACACAGGGGAAACAGCTCTACTCAATTCCATGAGGACTGCCTGGACCACCTGGTATTGGTGACTCCAAATGCAGCAGCAGCAGCAGCAGCATGTGAAGCTGGGGTTACTCAGTCCTTCCAGGGTACTGGGCACTTCATATGAACAGAGTACCGGAGCCTCCTTCACCATTCAATGATAGCTCCCATTTTACAGATGGGGAATTTGAGCTCAGGAGGCAACTTGCACTAGAGTTAGTTAAGTTATAGGCGGGTCATATTTGCTACCTGGAATTCTGCTTCCCTAAAAGAAAGGGTAGCTGAATACAAACCCCCTCTCCAATGGGGTGGGTGGGTAAATTGGGTTTCCTCCTGCACTTGCCTTCTTCATTCATGGAAACCTAACACATCCTCCAAGCCCTCATCTCCATTCCTCTTTCTGTGGACCACTTCTCCCATCAGAGCCGAGGCCCTTCCTTTCGCTCTGCAAGGCTCTCTTTCCATGCAGCCCTGGGGTCCGCTGTGTACTCAATGACTGTGCACAGAACGTCCCCTTCTTCTGGGAGCGTTAAGAACAGAATCTGTAGGGGTGGCCCGCCATCCCTGGGGCACACACAGCATTTCTTTTCCATTTAGCAGACCACATCTCAGGGCTTGAGCTCCTCCAAATCACAGAGCAGGATCTGACATCAAGCGGAGGTTCTGTGTGCCTGTGAGACAGAGGATTGTAGCAGAGGAGACACGGCCTCTGGGCCCAACCAGCTCTGCTGAGACCTCAGTACCTTCACTATACAGCCACTGGACGCTAGCCAAAGCTTTTCATCTCTACAAGCTCTCTCTTCCTCTAGAAATGGAGGTTGGCTGGTGGCTACGTAAGTGTTACCTGCACCCCGATCTGTCAGCACGCTGCAGTGTTTTCCCATATCTTCAGTGAACTCCGAAGGGATTCAGACCACATCTGTGCAAGATACTCTGGGAATGTGGAAGGAAAGGAAGGTATCCAGGACACTGTTGGTCCCTCTAAGAAGGTGGAAGAAGTGAAACCTTCCAGGGTGTAAGTCAGCAACTGAAGCCATGCTGGGAGGAGCCAGTGTATATAATCAATAAACAGGATCAGCTCCAGAGTTCCCAGGGTGACAAGAGTAGTCTATGCCTGGTATTACGGGAGCCTTTTCACCAACTCTGAGCTGTGTGAGAAGGATTAAGATGGGGGGGGGGGGGGGGGCTAGGCCTGAAGTCTGTTTAGGACATAGCTCTTATGAGGCAGATGTGGAGGCTGGCCCACCTTCAGGGACAAGGGACGGAGCTCTGTCAGACTGAAGGCCAGGGCTCCAGCCTCTGAGAACTGGCTGGTACACATTCTAACAAACATTCAAGCCATGATTTCCAGGCCAGACAGAGGACCCGTGCTCGCCATGTACCCTGATTCTTTAATCCCCATAGGAGACAGAAATCCAGATTCCTATGCAATGTCTCAGTATTTTGAAATGTCTGTGAAAGAAAACTTTAGAAAATGCTCTATAGACCAAACAGACCATGCATGAGCCCAGGCTGGATTGCATATCGGGAATACCATTTATGATTTCTGCTGGTGGGTATGCCCAGAGACAGAGGGTCAGAGAACGGGGCAGGTGAAATCACTTGAATGCCAAGCTAAGAAAGTCGGAATATTGTTTTTCCAGAAAACATAGGACCCCAGGAAGATGCCAGTCAACACTGCTCCTGTGTAGAGGCATAATGGGAAGTCATTTTGTTCGCTATTGTTTTTTATACACGTAGACCTTCCCATGATGGTTTTGTCTAAAAAAGTGCACTCATATCTCACTGTGATAACAATCTTTGCTCTGTTTACATATAAAGGCATGAAAGCCAGAGACCAGTCCCTACCTCTCAGCTTAAACCTTTTCGTTTAAACATTAACTGCATGCCTTAGAAGCTTCATGTGGAAGTGGAACACTGGAACATCTTAAATTCAATAATATTTAAGGTCCCTACAAAGTCTGACATCAAAAGAGCCTAAGATTGAAATAAACTAGCCCCTTTCTCTCCCACTCCTTTCTTTTTTTTTTTCTTTCTTTTTTTGTTTTTTGTTTTTTTCCCCTTGAGACAAGGTGTCGCTATGTAGTCCAGGCTGGTCAGGGACCTACTCTGTAGACCAGGCTGGCCTTGAATTTACAGAGATCTGTCTGCCTGACTCCTGAGTGCTGGGACTAAAAGTGTGCACCACCATGCCTAGCTTACAAACGAAGTGATATCCTTTAAAGATTTGTGTTTTTATTTTTATTTTACGTGTATGAGTGTTTTGCCTGCACACATGTCTGTGCACCACAAGTGTGCCTGGTGCCCTTAGAGGACCGAAAAGGGTGTTAGATCCCCTAGACGTGGAATTACAGATGGTTGTGAGCCACCGTGTGGAAGCTGGGAATCAAACCTGGGTCCTCTGGGACTGCAGCTAATGCTTTTAAACGATGAGCTATCTCTCCAGCTCCCAAATAGTGTTTTTTAAAACGATCAGTTTTGCAGTTTTTAAAAGCCTTGTCATAAGTTCATTTGTTGTTTGTTTGTTTGTTTGTTTTTTGAGGCAAGGTCTCATGTAGTCCAGGGTACCTTCCACTTCTGATCTCCTGCCTCTACCTCTCAAATGCTGGCATCACAGGTATGTGTCATTGTGCCTGTGCCTGGCCAGTCATTTCCCAGTGACCCCATGCAGGCCCTCATTTGATGGAAAAGAAGTCTGAGCCCTGGATAGATTAATTGGCTGCGTAAGTGTCAGCAATGGACAGAGCCAGAGGTCTGTTCTGTATTTTGTACCCAGCATTCTTTGGGCACTAGAACCTCAGAGAAAAGACCTGGCTGGGTAAACTTCCTCGGCATGCTGAGGCTAGTGGTCCTGTGTTTCAGATAACCATCTTATGATCTCCAGAAGCAGGGGAATCCTTCTGGACCAATGGAGAGGAAGAGGGCGTGCCCAGGAGAGGCAGGCCCTGGCTCACCTTACTCAGCAGGTAATTTTGTAAGTCTCCCTCTGGAAGAGACTTCATGGCTTCTTGGTCTGTCCCCAGGATAGCAGCAACCTTCTGCTTCGTTTCACGATGGAGGACAAAACCGGTAGGCAGCTTTCCCAGCAACGTTACTCTCTGGATGAAACTTCTCTGGAATTGTGAGCATGGACCAGAGACTCGGCCTCTTCGCGCCGGCTCACTGCACTTTTCCTTTCCAGCTTGAGAGAATCCGTCTGCCATCTTTCAGGGAATGATAGAAGATTAGAAAGGAGGCTTGATGGAAATGAGCTGGAGCCCACCTGGTGTTCCCCGGTATTAGTCACCCTGTCTTTTTTATCCTCTTGCTCTGATACCAGGTGCACCTTGGTGACCAGTATCTTTACATCTCCTTGTCCTTATCCTGTTGACAGTAAATATCCCCTGCCCTCCAATCCAGAAAATTCTGCCATTGATTTACTTCCTTACCCGAAACAAATAAGGAATTGCAAACACGTCTTCTGGTTTCTCACCATCATGCCCGACACAAGCCTTGCCCATCAGATGAGGGCCAGGACCAACATTTGGAAAAGCATGAGCTCACAGATACACTCATGTGTACAGAGGCAAGCTTACACACACACACACACACACACACACACACACACACACACAGAGAGAGAGAGAGAGAGAGAGAGAGAAGCAGGCAGACACAAAGAGACAGAGACAGGGGAGACACACACACACACACACACACACACACACACACACACACACACACGAGGCAGGCTTACAAACAGGCACATACATGCAGAGAAAAGTAGGGCAGAGTCCTGCCTCTCACCTGCTGACCTTAGAATGTGATTTCTTCGTCCCACCTGATGGCTGACATTCAAAATAAAATCAGTATAAACAGGCCCCTTAAGAGTCTAGGACACATGAGTTTTACCAGTAAAACTCATCCTGGACAACAGTACAGACAGTAAGTTCCCAGTCTGACTGGCTGGGGATCGCTTTAGTACAGGGTGAGAAGATCTCAGCAGCCTGATCTTCCCGAAACTGGTAAATTTCCCAGCCTCCTGTCTGTGATCCGACGGACTGACAGCCCAGCTCAGATCTGACCACGGCTTCCAGGCAGGCAGCTGCCCAGACCAACCTCCTCAGCGTTCTTCAACCTCAGCCGATCCAGCCTTTCTACTCTCTCCTGTGGCCCCGGATTTGCATATCCTCCCAGACAGCTCCCGGTGAGAGCCGCACCAGACCCCACCCACCTCCTTCTCCTAGGTGTTCGACTGCCTTCTCGGGGCTCTGTCTGCCAATCCAGGACCTTATACCAGTCCTGAGAAGGTACAGCTTCCTCAAGGATCCTCAGAATCCCCTCCACACTTCCTTGATTTCCCACCTGCTGTTCTGTGTCTTGGAAATCCCCTTCTCTTCACCGCACATGCTCTCAGATGGTCCAGAATCTTCTTCCCTTGGCTTCTGTTCCCCTGATCAACACTCCAATGGACCACATGAGTTTTTCACAAATGAAACAAGAGCCTCTTCCCCTTAACCTGCCTTCTGGAATTCTCTCTCCACGTCACTATGAACGGCACCAAAGTCCACATTTCCCCCACATACTTTTGGTTTTGCCCTTGGCTTCTGCTTTTGCTGGAATCATTACCTCACAGTCCCACGCCTCTGGTAAGGCCTTTTCTGGTAACAATAAAGCTGCCCTGGGTTTCTGGACTCAAATACCCAAACCTTTATCATTCTCGCTCTGGAGTATCAATCTCAGTTACTCCAGTACTGCAGATTGAAATGTTGCATCCGGAAACTTCTCTTGCTCCAAGATGGAAAGATTCTTGCCAGGTATGAACAAGGGAAAGCAGAAAATTGAGCTACTGGAGGAACCCGGGGAAGGAAGGGCACGGTGCGCTCAGGGCAGGTGGCTGCAGTCACATTCCACTAGACGCACAGCAGGAGATGGGTGTGTTGTGTGAACAGACCGCACACACGCACTGCGTGGCCCAGTTCCTAGTGGGTACGGTGTCACAGCACAGACCCGGGCTCTGGCAGCTCCTGTCAGAAAGGCTGAAGAGAACACGCTTTCCTGGCAGATACAGATCTCTAGTTAACTGGACAATAGGTCAGCAAAACTCTGTTGACTAAGGGTGTGCCTAGGGCCACCAAGAGGGACCTAGCTAATTCAAGTTTTCCTCCTTCCATGGGAAATAAAAATCCTCATTTTTCATGATTCATAGGCAAGGCAAAGTAAAAATGGAAGGCAGCTTCAGCTCAGTGTGGACTCTGAGGCCTGGGGGCAGGTGAAACGGCCCAGCAGATATGCCTGCCACCAAGCCTGAGCACCTGAGTTCCATCTCTCCCACCTCCCAGGACCCACATGGTGGAAGGAGAGAGCCAGTTGTCTCAGGTATTCCTCCACACACATAGACAAATAACAGACAAATAAATGCAATAGATTCTGAGGATCAATGTCTGTTTAACAAAGGAGTCGAAATATTTTCCCTATTTATAGTTTTGTGTTGGGTCGGGTAGTGTGGTGTGCACACAGAGGTCAGAGGACAAGCTCAGGTGTCAGCCTCAGGTGCCCTCTACCTGTTCCTGGAGACAGTCTTGCGTTGTCTAGGGACCTTGCTGTGCAGGTCAGGTGCTGAGCCACAAGCTGCCCGGCCCCCATGTCCTGCCTCCCACTTCGCCATTGCTGGATCCCAGGCACTGCAAACCAGTTTTTTACGTGGGTTCTGGGGGTCTGAACTCGAGTCTTCATGCATTCAAGGCAAGAATCTTACTAAGTGAGTCAGCTCAAGGCTTTCAAACATCTTAAGTCAATCCTAATATTCAGTGAGGCATCTTGGGAAGACCACACCCACCCAGGCTCACCCAGCGTTTTTACTGGTTTATCGAGTGGCTAAACAGTTCATGGCAAGAAGGGGAAAGATTAGCCTGACCCAAATCAATCTTAAATGTGCAGATTTGCTCAAGAAGGCCAGGGTTACAAACGCTGACTTACTCCTTTACAGATTCGCTTTAATCTGGGAAGGGTTAACTCCAGCAGCTCAGAAGACTGGACACTGGATGAAACCCACAACAGTAAACAGTCTGCAACAGGGTCCAAGGCTACTCTCCGTGTCCAGGGAAGCCTCCACCACACACAAGGTTGATCAGTAAATATTATTAAATATTCATCTGACTTCCTTAAAACTAGTGGCATTGTACTACAAAAATTATACAGAATAAATGATATGCAAGGCATGGTAATTCACACCTTACAGCTTAGCACTAGGGAGGCTGAGCAGGAGGATTGCTTTGAATTCAAGGACAACTTGGTCTGAATGTGAGACCCTTTTCCAACACCACCCCTCAAAACACCATACAAACAAATAAACAACAAAAAAATGCTCCCAGTTTGGGAAGGAGGAAGAGAAAACCTGTGTTTCTATGGATGTCCATGCATCCCATCTATCGATAATTAATGAAATACTATATGGGACAAAGCATTCACTTCATGTATTATACATTCAACTACATACGAGATCCTGTGATCTCTTCGATTATTAACTCCTCTTGTGAAAAGCCTGGCACAAGTTAGGATCTTAGTAAATCGTGATCGCTTTATTCACTGAAGACAAGGGGCCTTCTTGTGACGTGTGTGGTCACCCTCCATCTTTCTGGTGGACGGATCCTGCAACGGGTCATTCATCACAGCTCCCCCAAAGACCTGTCTCCTTTCCTCTTGTACTGAGGTCATTTGGCCTTTTGTCTAGGTTCAGAGGCAAGGGTTTCCAAACTCATACACTTATGTGGGCAAAGTAGAATCTAAAATAAACCTAGACGGTGTAGACATGGAGCAAGGTGAGACCTGGGCTGGTTTCAGGAGGGAACTTCCAGGTCAGGAGAGACAGCGCGGGCAATAAAGTAGTTGTGGTTCAAGCATGAGAACCCAGACTCGACTCCCCAGAGCCCATGTAAAATGCCTCGTCAGTACTGGGGAGATGGAGAAAGGGGGGTCCCTGGGGCTTACTAGCCAGCCAGTCCAGCCTAGTCAGAGAGCTCCAGGCCTGAGACTGACCTCTGACCTACACACACACACACACACACACACACACACACACACACACACACATGCGCGCGCGAGCTGACTTTAACCCAGAAGGAGCAGAGCAACAGGAGAAGATGTGTCCGCACCTGAAGGAAGTCACTTTTCCCAGCCTAATGCCGGCAGGAATGCTGAAAAACAGCCCAATAACGCGAGCATGCTAGAAGCCCAGAATCCTCACGTCTTTGTGAAAGCCGTGGCCGTCTGGAGAACATCAGACTGCTTATTAGATACTGTGATTGTCCCAGCACTTCCAGAAATAGTGGTACCCCTTACAAAAAAAAAGAAAACAAGGGCCCTGCCCGGTGCACAACCGGAGGTCAGTGAGAGGGGAAAAGCCAGGCTGTGAACTCAAGCTTCTCACAGGGCAAAGATGATCTGGCTTAGGTGCAAAAAAATATAAGAAATGGGGCTGGAGAGACTGCCCAGCAGTTAAGAGTATGTACCGCTTATAGAGGACCTGGGTTTGGTCCCCAGCACCTATATTCAACAGCTCACAACCGCCTAAAGTTCCAGCTCCAGGAGATCTGATGCCCTCTTCCGGACTCCTCGGGCACCTGCACTCACACAGGTACATACCTACAAGCATGAACACACACACACACACACACACACACACACACACACATTCACATAACTAAAAAACATGAAATGTTTAAAAAGAGACAAAGTACGAGAAATGATTCAGTTTGGGCCGGGGCAGAGACATTTCCCAGGCCTGTGCCTGTGGGTCCCTGTGCCCATCCAAGTGCACAGTGCTAGCCTACTTTTCTGGATTGTCCCCATTCAGCGGATTAAGCCCAGAAACCAGCCTGGAGACTTGGTGTTTTAACAGAGAACAGTCACCAAGGCCACAAAGCTCTTGTTATGGCTTGGATAACACTTTATTTTCAAATCAAATCTCTTTGCCTATTTGGCGGGGAAGGAAGAATATTGTATTTTCATTCAAAACTCTTCCTGAATCCAGGATGCTGCCCCAGTCATGTGAGGCCGAGCTATTTTTATGTTGCTATCACCAGAGAAAGTAAGAGGATGAGGGAAGCAGCTCAGGAAGTGGATGGCTTTCCACTCATTTTTTTTTTTTTTTAAAATGCCGTCTGGTAACTGCTGAACTGCTCACCTCAGTTTCTGGGATGGCTGAGTCAGGAGGAAACACCTGATT